AGAAAACTTACAAGAAAGTTCTTGTAAGTATAGCTCACTAACCTAATGAAGTCATCACAATTTAAAAAAAAATGTAGATAAGAGTCTCATGTTCTTCTACCCCATGAATCCTCTCTGTTCCATTACTGCTCACAGAATGCCATGATAAAATCTTAATACTATATATGTAGAAAACTTGTGGAAACCTCTGGAATCATATAACCAGATAAATGCAAGAGGAAGCATAGAAATTTGTATCTGGGTCACATGATTCCTTATTGCCTTGGAAAGTTCAGTGGTGAGCCATTCACCTGCTAAGGGTCCCTTTGCTCTCCTGGTGCATCATTTTTATACCAGCCATATGAGAAAGTATAGTGTTTTCCATATTACTTCCTGAGTCATACTATTTCTTGAGTCCTGTGCCATTCAGGTTTTTCTGGTTGTTATTCCTGTACTTCATTTTCCTGAAGCTTGTCTCCCCTTCATTATAGTGGATATGTTTGAGAGGCCATGCCTAAGTGGTTTGCATTTAGAAGCATGGGAAAATTCTCCAAGCATTTAATTTAGACAATTACATATGTATGCTAGGAGACTGAAATTCACATGAGAGAAGCAAGAAATTTTTTGTTCTGCCACCTTGGCACAGATAAGAAACCATCTCTCTTCTTTTGGGGGCAGGAAGTTTGTTTTAAAAATTAGTTGTAGCATTGTGAGAAATCTGACATGGGCCATAGACTAATTTTTTTTTTCAGTGACAGAGAATCAGACAAAATAGAGAAAAAACAATATTACAGAACTTGAGATATTAGTTTTTCTTCTTCCTCCACTTGCAAAAGTAGATTTATAGAGCACAAATATTTCCTTTGATTTTTACCAGAATATACAGTTTCTATAACAAAACAAAAATTTAAAAAGCAATTCTGTTTAAATACATCTAGAAATTCCATTATTTTGGGGCTTGGGATACAATACAGTGTACTCACATAGAACTTCACAATCTGCCAAAGAATTAGGCAGTATTTTAGACAAAGTATTTTAGATGAGAATTTGGATTATTAAGTGCCAGGTCCTGGGAACTTAATATACAGTTTCCAGAGGAAGTAATGACACAGAACACACAAGCTGGAGACACCCTGTCATGAAGCATGGGTTGCTGGTGCCAAAGGTTAATGATTGTACCTTTCTTTTGTTCTTACTTAAGTAGTTATAGAGCATTTTAAATATTCCTGGTGTTGCTATTAGTATCCTTCATGAGTAATCTTTCCACACCCTGTGACCACATGTCACCACTGAATATTTTTGAGGCATAGACTGAACACCTAGTTTCTTTCATCATCCTGTCATCATCTCAGTTTTAACACGAAATAACCTTTGCTTCATACATACTGTTCTTATTCTATTAATTGAAACATGATTTGCTTCAAGTAAGAATAATGGGAATCATGTCAAGCCATGCTCATCTTTATTCTTCCATTTAGAAATCTGAAGCCAATAACTTAAAAAACAAGAGCCAGAGTAGAGCATATCAGATTAGATATATATTCCAGGCAAGACACATTTCTTTGGTAAATGACATACATGAGTCTGAAACTTTATGAAAACAGAAGATAAATTCCTCCTTTAATTTTCTACTGAAAATTACATATTAGTGATTATTTTTCTCTCAAAATTTTTACTTTACAAAACTGGCCATTCCTAAATATATAAATAATTAAGTTCATTCACAGATGACTTTATTAAAGTTTGTTCACCTTGAACACCATAACTATAGCTACCATTATTCAACTTTAGTTTCCTGACTCCTCCCCTCAGAGTCATACGCCATGACCCATTCCCCAGCCTCAACTCTTTCCTCTTGCTGTTTTCCTCACATGCTGCTGTAATAATGAACTTCTCTCAGTTCCTCCATTCCATCAGCTTCATTGTCAAATTCAAACAGTCATTGCTTTTCCTTTTCCCTGTGTCTGCAGTGCTCTTCCTCTTCTTTCTCCCTCATGTGTCCATCATGTTTTAAGTTTTCTGTAATTTTTGAATCTTTTGATGAGCCATATATCTAACTTCCATTCCTTCTCGGACGTGCTCGCAGAAGAACCTGAATTTATTCTCCTCTTAGTACCTCTCTCCTTTCTTTACACCCGTATTATCATATCACTTCATTAGATAAATGTACAAACACAAAACAGATAGTTTTCCAAGTTGATTTATCCCATCCCCAAGTATATTTTTCCAAGTATTAAAAATACTTCAGCCCTTGCTTTCAAGTTAATCTCCTCAATGGAGAGTCTGCATTATATACCAGGCACACCATACGCTGACCGCTTCTTGCTTTGTCTTCTGCAGCTCTTCCCCTTTACTCCTACATGGCGGCCATACTGCATTTCTTATACTGCTTCCCAGAGTTCAAGCTGCTTTCCATCCAAAGGAAACTTCTTGACACCTTTATCACAAACGTTGTCACCCCTACCAAGAACACTGTTTTCCACCTCTCTGACTCAATTGGAAAAGTGAGGCATAGATACATTTTACACACACACACACACACACACACACACATTACGTAATATATAATATATATATTCAGTGCTCAGACTCCGAATTATTCACAGTGCAATACACATTTTATTTATGAAATATATTTCATAGCCATGGCTCAGTTATTATTTAGGTAATTGTATTTTTAACATCTTTCTCCCCAACTAGACTATAAACTACAAGAGGCAGTAACTATGTCTGTCTTGTATAGGAACATTTATTCTGAATCTGGGCCATTTTGTAGCATATGAGGGAAAAATGACAATGAAGTATAGGGTTAGGAAATGATGAAAGCAAAGATGTTGGAATAGATGATAAAACATCTTGATGGCTGTGACAAACAATTTATAGTTTATCCTAGAGACAGTGAATATATAGAAGCTTAAATGATCAAATCTGTGTTTTAAAAAATAAATCTGGCAGCAGATAGTATGGCTGATATGACAGACTGAGAGCCAGAAGACTACTATAGTAGGTGATAAAAAATGGCCACACATTTCTTCTGTCTCAATATGCACATCCTTTTTGCATTGTGACTTTGTTACTCTTCTTATACCAAGCATGTGACTTTGAGCATAACTGTGAAACTTGCTTTGGCCAATTAGACATTATCCACCATGATGGAAGCCAGGGTGTGAAAGCATTTGCACACTGGGATTTTCCTGGGACTTAACTAAGAACTTGAGGCCACCACATGAAGCAGCCTTACTGAAGCAGTGAATCTCAACAGATTTTTGAATTTCTATACTTTGTTTATATGTATAATACTCCTCTCCCACCTTTAGAAACATCTCTTACTTCAGGCAGTGATATTCACTGGTACATACTAGAATCTTGTGATAGGAGGAGGCATATATAATTTGACCTCATTTCACAGGAGAATCCAACATACTCTATGACTGTAAATTGAAAAACATTCTATAAATTTTATGGACCAACGAATAAACAGTTAACTCAGCCTGAAGAGTTAACAGACTCCACAAAGGAAGTGACATTTATGTTAGCTCTGAGGAGAAAGAATAAATATTTCCCAGACAGAGCAGTGAGGGTAGGGTATTTTAGACAAAGATATATAGAGCACACACTCTTAAACATTCTAGGTATTGCTAGTGAAGCCATGGTACTTTCAAAAAAAAAATCTATGGAAGTTATTTTGCAAGTCTAAAGTTTGCAGAAAGGTCATTAAAGTAGATTTTCATTAAATTACTGCCTTTCATTAAAATATTCTTATTTTCAGTAACTTGATTTAAACATTACCAAGTAATTTCCACCTAAGTCTCATCCCTAAGAATAAGTTACACACAAAATAGGATTTGATAATTGTTTTATCTGCCTTCATTGTCAAACAGTTCTGATAACTCTAAAATGATGGTGATTTTATGAAATTGAATTTAACTCTGATTTTTCCCTCTGAGTTCATTAGCCTCTCATGAAATTGCTAATATCAAGATCTACTTTCTGATTCTCATAATACAGAACTATTAGTATTTTCCTTAACACATGCACACATATACCTTCAAGGTAAATACCCACTTCCAAAGGCTGATCTTTATGTAAATAAGTCTCTGAAGAATATTATTATCCTCTAACACTTCTGTATTTCTTTGGTGAAGTATATAGAACACCTTCTCTCTTCTGCACACACACAATAATAAGATTAATCTTTAAAAGAATCATCTTTACAAGCTGACCCTGTCTGCCTTTAAGGAAAAATCAACCAATGAGAAGATGCTTTGGTGATGTAAAACCTATTAAATTTCTCTCTTTCGGACATAATTGGGTAAGAGACTTCTCAGGACATCAATCATGCAATGAATTTCTTTTTCTCCCATGACTAATCTTAGCTCATAAGATTGTGGTACTTCACAAACACATTATTTTAAGATAGGCTTGAAATGGTTATGCAAAATGGTTATACAAAATCATTAAACTAGAGAATTTTATGTTTACTTTTTTTAGATTACAGGATCTTGCTATGTTGTCTAAGCTGGCCTTGAATTCCTAGGCTCAAGTAATCCTCTGCCTCAGCCTCCCAATTAGCTGGGACAACAGACATACACCATCACACCTGGCTGAGATTCTTTTCAAACTTTAGCATCTATACCCATTGGCATTTGCTAGTATTTCCTCACCTTTCTTGAAAAATCACTTACTTCTATAGGTTGATCTTTATGTAAATAGACAATACATTAACACCACAGCCACCAGCATATAAGCAATTATTTTCCTCATATATAGATATATGAATTTTACGGGTTCCACTGATGCTTCTAAATGCTTGCTAATGTCCAGAGAAGCCCTAGCCCAAGTCAGATGAAGGCTCCTACCACATAGGCCTAATTCTGTGAAGAGTGATAGGCAGGACAGAATGAATTTGTGTTGGTTTCCACCAGTCAAGTACACAAAAATACAGGAGCTAAGCTAAAAACTTCAGGCAAGTCTTATTCATGCAATAGCTTATTCCCATTCCTTCTTCCTCTACTTTTCAGCAGGAATACAATAGTAAGAATGTTGTGAAAAACATAATTTCAAAGAAGAAGATTATAATACCTGAGAAGACTGGTGGTTTATCTGATCTGACATCCAAGGAATAAAGCAACTCAGACTGCTAAACCAGCTGTGTAATTTGGAGAGCAAGATGTAATTCAAAGTTGATGACTATGAATACTCAAAGTAGGAAAATTAATACATTAGAACCACTTTCTCTCTCTCTCTCTCTCTCTCTCTCTCTCTCTCTCTCTCTCTCTCTCTCTCTTCCCATCTCTCCCTCTATTTCTCTCTTTCAGGATATCCTAGAAATCCTTTGAAAAAACTAAGTTAATTTCTGGCACTTGAATCATTCTTGGGACTTTTCTACTTGTTCACTTCATGATAATACAGTTGTACTGGGACAGGGTGAAATTATGGGGTCATACAGTCTTTTGAATCTGACCATGAAGAGTGTCTCTCTCTTATGGGAGAGTGACAAAGCATTGTAACTTCAGTGAGCCACACTTTCTCACCAATTAAAATAAATAATATTAAATTATTAAAATAATATATATAAAGCCCAGGGTGGTGGCAAATACCTATAGTCCCAGCTAGTCAAAAGGCTGAGGGAGAAGAATTGCTTGAGCCCAAGAGTTTGAGACCAGCCTGCGCAACATTGTGAGACCCATCTCAAAAAAAAAAAAAAAAAAAAAAAAACCATAAATAAAATTCTTGGAAAGTAATAAATACTCAAGAAATAGCAGCTATAGTTATTTACTATTTTCCCATATACAAATGATATTTAAGCCACTCCACTTTACCTTTCAGAGTTGAAAACCAAACTACATAAAAACAATTATATAACCATAATAGATTTACTAATCTTCCACTAATTTTACTCTACTTTTTGATTTAGAAATCATTTATTTCAATGGATATCATTTTTTGAGAAAATTTATAGACAGGTAACATTTAATTCAGTTTTAGAGAATAGTAAGGCATTTCCTATTTAGATAAGGTGGAAAAATATTGAAAAGGAACACCTAGATAAAAGAAAGAAAGTTTTAAAATTATAGCTATTTGTAGAATGGCTATTTGAACCATCTAATGTTTTGCAACAGGACATATATAAATATGGCATGGACAGGATTCACTCATGTACAGAGAGGTTTCGTTAAAGTTGAAATATTACCTTCCAAGTCACAGTGTTGCTTTTCTTTATAACATACTGTATTAGTCTGTTTTTCATTGCTTAAACAAAATACCTAGAGACCAAGTGATTTTGAAGAAAAAAAAAATATTTTTTTTAGGTCTAAGAGCACCAGCTTCTTTTTGGCTCCAATGAGGGCCTTGTAATAGAACACATGTGAGACTATTAACACTGTAAGATAGGAAATCAGAAAGCAGGGAGGGCTAATCTTGTTCTTTTATAACAATTCAGTAGCACAGCAACTAACCAGAGTCACCTGAGAAATACGCTAATTCCTTTCAAAACAGTGCCCTGCAATGACCTGATTATCTCCCACTAGGCCCTACCTTTCTTTTAAAGGCTCCACCACCTATTAATACTGTCACATTGGGTACTATACTTCCAGTATATGAAACTTAGTGAATACATTCAAAGCATATCCAAATTATAGCACATACCATTAGAAGATGCATAATACACACTATCTGCGTGTGTGTGTATGTGTGTGTGAGAGAGAGAGAAAGAGAGAAAGTGAGAGAGAGAGAGAGATATTTAAGCTTATATGGACTTTTCTTCAAGTAAAAAATATTATTCCTTTGCTCTTCTTATGATTTTTAAAAAAGTATCCCAATGTACTATTTTACTTCATACAAGGTAAAAGTAAATTTTATAAACCATCTTTCAATAAGACAATATAAATAGTTGAAAATAGTATGAGATCTAAAAAACATCTCTTGGTTTTGATTCATGTAGAAGTTTACATGAGCAATACAAAAGTTAATAATATCAAATTATGTATTAAAGAAGTATTGTCTGTACTAAAGAAGTATTGTCTAAATGTGCATGTGTTTGTTTTAAGAGTTATCTGGGAAGGTTGCATTACTCTTATTCACATGGTAAAAAACTGAATTAACCATCAAGTCAATGAATGCATGGAACCATTCACCTTTAATACTGTGGGTGTGAACACATTCTTAAATTTTGCTCTAAGTTCCCTGTCATTTCCTTGAAGTATATTAACTGAATAAAAAGTCTTCATGTCTTTAAACAGGACTATGTGGATGTGCTCAATAGTTCAAATATATTTGATGAGTTTTATCAGACATGACTTTAATGTATTTTTAGACATATACATGATATGTTATAAAAAGAATAATTCAATTTGACGAATGGCATGTACTGAGTTGTCTATATCCTCTCTCCCCTTTGTAATCAATATCAAGTCTTTTTGTTTTTAAGTGCACTTTAGTTATATATAATAGTGGAGTTCATTATGACGTATTTATACACATATATAACATAATTTGTTCCATTTCATCCCCCCAGTACTCCTCGCTTCCCTTCCCTCTTCCTTCTCCTGATCTCTTCCTTTGCTCTACTGGTCTTCCTTCTATTTATTCACATTTTTAAATTGGAGCATTATAATTATACATAAAAGTGGGATTCATTGTGACATTTTCAGTATATATACACATAGCATAATTTAGTCAACCTCATTCTGCTTTTTCTCTCCTTTCCCACTCCTCCTGCCCCCTTCAGCCCCTTCTTCTGCACTACTGTTCTTCCTTCTGTTTTCAGGAGGTGGAGATTTGTTTGTTTGTTTGTTTTAATTCCTTATGCCTCTTATATGAGAAGACATTGACCCTTGACTTTCTGAATTTGGCTTTACTTCACTCAGCATGATACTCTCCAGGGCCTTGTGCATGCAAGGCAGGCACTTTACTAATTGAGCTATATCCCCAGCCCCAGTTCCATCCGTTTACCAGCAAATACTATAGTATTTGCTTTATGGCTGACTAGACCTCCATTATGTATATTTAAAATCAGCATAATAGAGTAATAGAGTCATTCCAAAGTTTATAGTAGCACAGTTCACAGTAGCCATGTAATGGAACTAGACTAGGTGTCCATCAATTGGATGAATGGATAACAGATAAAGAAAATATCATGACTTTTAGAAGTAGCTTACTAGAATTACAGGTCGTCAGGTCAACCATGGCTTATAGAATTTCATCATGTAAAGCTGAGGTGTATGGAGGAGGAACCAATAGTCTTGGACCCATTGTGTTTTTCTATCCATATTAAATATTATACACAGGAGTGCTTGTCTAAATGTGCATGTGTTTGTTAATGCCCATGTCATCCTACAAATAATTAGAGTTTGTTAGAATTTGTATGTGTAATGCAGAAAAATCCACTGTGTACAGCATGCTTAGAAATGTGAAATTCTCAGGTAAATTTAGAAATAAAGAATATTTCCTGTTTCCTCTGCCAGCTGTTAAGGAGAAAGCTAGTTTTATCACTCCAGTTCCAGGAGGCGTGGGACCCATGACAGTGGCGATGCTTCTGAAGAATACTCTTCTGGCAGCTAAAAAAATCATTCACTAGACGTCATGGAAGAATCAAGCAACTGAGGTTATGCTGTGTATTTCTTTGACAAAGGGCAAAAACCTTTATATTTTACTACAAAGTTATTTATTTCTACATTATATTTATTTTTTCATGGATGGAATCATTGTGGATCAGATGATTCATGCAACTTTGTGCATTTCCTGCTGATTTTGAGTTTTAGGAAAAACCAAAATAATTCCAGTGAAATTTTGGTAATAATTGCTTATTATTAACAAAGGATATTTGTTCATAATAAAACATTAAAGGGTTCATAATAAATAGATATATTTTTGACACAAGTAACTATTGCACACAGTGTGTTTTCAACAAATATTTTGTCAGTCAAATGGGTACCCACATGCAATTTTATCACAGACATGCTCAATTTTTACTATATTCTGTGTTTTATGTCGTATGCTGTAAAAGAGCTTACTTGATACAAGAAAGATGGAATACTAAAAATCAAAATCTTCCCAAATGCAACCTACAAGGCCATCCTATTGAAAAATTATGTCCTCTTTAAGAAAAATATTTAAGGAAGGCAAAAGATACAATGCTACTTGTAAAAGTAATTATATCACACTGTGAATAACTACTCGTCATAATAAAATATACATTAAGAATATGTTATGTTTATATATCATTGTTTCTTCCTGTAAAAAGTTTTTGGACCATACAGTCGCTGAAAAATGATGGGAAAATCCAAAAATATAGAAAAACCACAAAACTTTGGTTGTATTTTCCTGCAAATATCAGAAAAATAATATATTGTATGAGTAAAATGATCATTAAAGAAAAGCAACTGGTATGTCTGTCCACACATTCAGTAATCTAAAAGTAAAAAATAATAAATTCAATGTGCCAAAACAAAACTATAGGATGCAAGTAAAACTTTTATGCTTTGTGCTCACAGTAATTCTCTCTTCTGTTATGGCATTTTGTTCTCAAAATAGATGTAATGTTCCTAACATAATTTATATTAATACATGTGAATGTTAGTTAAAGGCTATTTTGAGGCTATTGGAACAATGTAATTAGTGTTCTGTTTTCATGCCCAAATCTCAGTATGTTTACGTAAAAATAATAATTCTTATTCAATGCATGTTTTTATCAGTGCATTTCTCTTGATCATTTGTGTGATAATAGACTTGATGTTTATAATTAATACCATTTCAACAAAATAATAAAAAGTAATTTGAAGAAGGATAGCCGTGTTCTCTTTTTGTAAGAACAGCTGTTTCTTTGTCCATATTTTGTTACCCAGTTTACTGCATGCTTAAAAAACATAGCAAGTTTTGCAAACTTGAAAGAAAAAAATAGTATAAAATATTCTACAATCTGTCCAAACCAACTTTGTCCAGTAATTCTGACAAAAATTTAAATCCAGAGTTTGCAAGCAAACATTTTAGAAAGGGCCTCTTTAAATTTAAAGGGTGCCTAACTCCCTAACTAAAATGACCAAAAGTACATGTGTGCAAGGAAGGTTATTTTGGAATTATATTCAGTAGTCAGCCTTCCCAGAGTCTATTCTATTTAAAATATTATAAAGAAAGACTACAGGGGAGGGAAATTGAAGTTAACTCTGTAAATAGCAAAGAGCTGAGGATTTATAGCCACTGTGCTGAGATAAGAGGTTGGTGGTTTTGATGCCAAGGAATTAGAAAGAATTAGAAAGAACTGGGTTTGAGATCAAGGATAGGGGAATTCTTGCTGAAACTAGCTTATCAGTATTCTTGAAAACAGCAGAACAACATTTTTTATATCAAGGGTAGGGAATGGGTAATTTGATCAGATACCAAAGGCAGGGTGGATTGTTTATAAAGATTTAATATAAACCAGGCACAGTGACACACACCTGTAATCCCAGCAGCTCAGGAGGCTGAGGCAGGAGCACTGTGAGTTCAAAGCCAGCCTCGGCAATTTAGCAAGGCCCTAAGCAACTCAGAGAGACCCTGTTTCTAAATAAAATGTAAAAAAGGGTTGGAGATGTGGCTCAGTGGCTGAGCACCCCTGGGTTCAATCCTCAATATAATAATAAAAAAATTGAGTTCAGTGGGCCAAACTCAAGCCTTTACATATTATGTCATTGCCTCAAACTCAGCAAGAAGAGGACTCAGAGGATCCTGACTGAAGATTGGTGCAGGAAGGAGCCTTTGTCAACACATAAAAGAGATAAAGCCAATTCATTGGTATTATGTCTTTATTTATGGATACACAGAGTCTGTAAGATATACACACATGTTGGCCCTACAGAGGAGCTTGGAGACATACATTTTCTTTTCCTACTCCATCAGTATCTAGAAAGAAGACCCTTAATAATAAATGGGATTTCAGCAATAATATAAACACATGGAGGTAAAAAGGAACTTAGCATATACTTATGAAAGTAAGGGTCTCAGATACAAATGAAAAGTGTGAGGTGCAAGGTGATGGAAATGCAGCTGGGTTAATATGCAAAAACTAGACTAGAGGAAACCATGCTAAATCAGAATGTATATTATATTTACTAAGTGATGAGAATTATAGTTAGAGGATAGAAGATGTTATCATCAGTTAATATAAGGAAGTTGTAAAGAGGAGGTGGTTTTGGAGAAGAGATAATATGTTCAGTTTAAAACATGTTGAGTTTGAGGCAATGACATAATATGTAAATAAGTGTCCTGATGTAATATCAGTATGGGAAGAGGACAGGTTTTCCTGGCTAGTGGGGAAATTTTAAGATTCATTAGCACATATTAGCTACAAAATCTCTCACCCTCTTTGTGACCACTGTAAATACTGTGGCTCTTTCTACTTGTTCAGTAGTAACCACTATCCTTAATTGAGTACCTGTCATGTGCCAAATACCTCCCTCTGTGCACGCGTGTGTGTGTGTGTGTGTGTGTGTGTGTTTATTTCTTATTAAAAATTTTTACTTGATAGATGAGGAAATTGCTCCTAATCATTAAAACATCTCACCTAAAGCACATGTATAATAAAGAAGAATCTGAATTTAAAATAAGCTCTGTTAGGATAATGTGAGTCAGAGCCCACCCCTCACACTTTACTCTGTCTCCCTTCAATGACCTCTACACCTATAATCCATTCTCATTTTTTAAAATCCTACTTATTAAAAATTCATTTCAATGAAACTTGTTCATGAAAAACACCATGAAAGTCTGAGTAAGCACGACTTCTAGACTCTCTGCCTTTTATGCACATGTTGATGGTGCTCATAATTTCCTACCCAGTGTTTTAGGCATGTGGTACTCTTCCTAGCTCTCTTTAGTTCTCTGAGGTCAGAATATCTGCATTATGTATTTGTGCCTTATCACATCCAATGCCATGGACATAGTAGACAATGAGTAATTTCCAAATGAAGGAATAAATAGCAAATAAGACTATGAGAATTACAGAATAAATTTAGAGAGAAAAACAATAGATGAATGGATATGTCTTGCCAATGACCAGCTACAAATGCTGGTTGAGTTAGTTTAGTGAAAGAGCGGGGAGGTGGGGGAAGAAAATATGAGTACACGAGAAAGACAGACGGACGGAAGTGGAGGGAAGGGAGAAAGGAATAAGAGGAAAAGGAAAGGGAAAAATAAATTTCTAGATGGACTTATGAATAGAGGAGAGAGAGGAATAAATTAAAGACAAAAAATACGGGATGAGAGAAAAATGGTAGTGGAGCCTCCATCTCTTTTCTCACTCTGACTTGCCTTACCATTTCTTAGGAATAAATAAAGATGACAGAAAAGCCACTTTCCAACAACACATCTCCCACTTCAAGATTGGGAGAAAGGACTTTTGGGTGAGAGGGTCAAAGAGATGAAGGTAATATATTTTCCTATGAACCGTGCAAGGGGGATGAATGTGTACTTCTGTAGATGTTTCCCCACTCTGGTAAATTAGGCTATATCATTTGTATGGGCCCCAAAGGAAAAGAAGCAGGTGGAATGACTTAGAGACATTTTCTGTATAAACCTTAAACCAGAGTGGTAGATAGATACAAATGTTAGGGAGGTAACTCAGTGGTAGAGCACCCCTAGTTTTAATCCCTAGTAACACACACACACACGCACACACAGAATTGGGATAAGTGTGAAAACCTATAAAACTGAACTGTTCTAGTTCCATTTAGTTCTTACAAAGATGATCATTGTACTTCTATATCTCAGTGTTAGAAATAAAGGTATTTGTGCTGGGGATGTAAACCTGCGGTAGAGCACTTGCCTAGCATGCACAAGGCACGGGGTTTGATCCCCAGCACTACAAAACAACAATCAAAATAGCAAACAAAGACATCCAATGTGAGTTCTAACATCCCCTCCAGAACCTACAAATGGATTTGGGATGGTTTATTTGATACTTTGTAAATGATTTCTTAAATTCTCACCAACAATGCCAAGAAGATTCTTTTATTTATGTTTCAAATATTACTTGCCTGGGGAAAATGATGTTCAGAAATTGACTTAATAAACAGTTTTTTTTAAATAATCTTAAAGGCAAAAATACAAAATGTGGGCACATCTAAAATGAGTCAAGTGCTACATTTTCTTTTAACTTTAAAACGATGACTCTTGTGGTAAGTGATTGCCCAAGTTATAATGAGTACAGCAAGCTCATTCTTGTGTGATTTCTAAAGCCAAATTCATATTTGAATACAGAAAGGGATCTTTTCTGATAAATCTAACTCACTGGGTGGACATGATACAAATGATAACCTATCTTGACTTGAATAGGTTTTCAAAGTACAGAAAACACGAGCAATTCAAATTCCAGGTAGAAAGACACAGCACTTCAGTAAAAATATTTTAATAATAATTTCGGGCAAGTGAAAACTTATGGGAAGCCCCTAAAGTCCAAAATAATAATAATAATCATAAGCAATAATTACACATTATGTCATTTAGAGTGGCATTTTAATAATTATAACTTGATTAAGATTGAAAAGGCTTTGCTACATTTAAGACTTTCTATTCATTAGATGTATCTAAACTAAATGTCATCTTAATTTTACCTCAATGGAGAATTGTATTATTAGTAGTACTGTTAGTACTATTTGGTACCTTATCAGTTCTCTCTAGCCTGATTATCAGTGCACAGACCTGAGCATTTTTGTTCCTAGAATGTGGTAGTCCATTCCATTTACTCAGAAAAATATTAAATAGCAGAATGACATAAAAAAGTTAATGTTGTATAATTAAAATATATTTATAAAGTTTGTCATAAGTAAAGCTAAGTAACAAAAACTAAAATGGAATTTATTTTTTTGATTGTCTGGGAATTGAACCCAGGGCCTCAGGTACGCTAAGTAGGTGCTCTGTCCCTGGTCCATCCCCTGAAATGGAATGTTAAACTTATTTTGACAGTAATTTCTCTGTTCTCCCCTGCATCCATATTAACTGAACATTTTGATTTACTATAGAACTCACAGTCTGTGATGAAAGGAAATGTAACTACTATAGTATCGAGGGTTTTATTATTATTATTATTAACAATAATTATGCTGTCTCCTAATTTGCAGATCTCTTTGTTGGAATCCTTCCTTGATTTCTAGCCCAACTAGTACACAGTTCTGTTCACACCAGTGGAGACTTTTTGAACTCATGTTCTTTTGGGTTGTTGTTTTAAGTACTTTTACATATAGGAGTATGCCCACAGGTAACAGGAAACCAGTGTTTCAAAAGGAAACTTGATCACATCGCTAGATAACACAGGCATCCCAAACAAGTGTGTGAGCGCCCCAAGGCTTGGGGCTGCTGCCAGAAGTACATATTCTTTTGATTGGTAAGAACTGCCAGATGACGCTTCATGAAATGTATAATGCAAGAAAGACTCAGAGAGCTCAATAAAAGCCTTCCACCCAGCAGGTTGGGAGGATAAGAGAAAGAAAGTAAAGCAACTACAGAAGATGGCTTTGGGAGTTCCAATATCAGTCTGCCTTTTGTTCAACGGTAGGTAATTTCCCTTTTGTTTAATTAACTTTGTATCAAGGTGGAATGTAATGTAAATGTAAATGGGATTTATTCTCCGTGAATTAAAGAGATGTTGGTTTGTAAGAGTTGTTAATGATAAAGATCAGAATAATTAAATCTGTGGGTTAATGTAGTTTCTTATGAAACTTATGTTCCTCTCCTGGTATGTTTTGATTCCTTTTTTTTTTTTTTTTGAGAACTCCAAAATGTTTGCTCTATAGAATTGAAGAGTAGTTGATAACATTTAGTTACACTACCACAGTATTGTCTCCTTGTGATTGAATTAATATATAAATGCATTCACTTTTTCTTTAAAATTTATGTGTTTCTATTTTCCATAATTATAATGTAGTTGATGGAATGGCTGAAAAACAGATGAGCAAATGCCCTAGTCAGGTTCTAGATTTAAAATGGAATAAATTAAAAGCAGAATGGAAATAGGATTAAACACAGTAAGAAAAACTCTGGGTCTATTGCTTGCACTTGGACAGAGGCACATCTGCTAAAGATGCTTCCCCCCACCCTCAACAGCAATGACAGCACTGACAGAAGAGGCAGCTGTGATTGTGACTCCCCCAAACGCAGTCCAGCAAAGTAATTGGACCGTGAACAAAACCGAAGGTATTTTCTTCCCATTTTTGTACTTCAAATGACTTCTTTGAAACCTTTGAGAAAAACTTGGATTATGATAGAAACAACATTGGAAATTTTTAACTATATGTTTTATAGGGTTATCAACACTTTTAGCAAGATGCTATTAAATTGAAGTGACAGATAAATGTGTGAGCCAAGAATTACCCTTTTAAAAGGAGGAAGTGAAACAAAGGAGAGAAAGAAAAGTTGTCTTCAGCCACTGTCCTGAATGTGAAGTGTACCATATTTTCTGCTTGGCTTCCAATAACCCATGTGTGTTCGGTGACAGCTCATTTCCATTTTGGCATTCTTGAAGGGGCATCATATTTTGATCTATGACTATAAGCTTAACAGTCAAAGAAATCATGGACAAAATGAAGCATTCTCCTTCATCTTTGGAACCATCTTTTTTCTTGCTTGTTTTTTGGGGGCTTTTGTTCTTTTAACATGTGCTACTTTTCCTCCCCACTTATACCTGATTTTTTTTAATTGATGGTGATGTATTTTCTTTTCTATTTTATTATTATTATTGCAGTGGCTTCTGGCTGCTGTTGAGTGTCAGCATTGTTTTCAAACCTGTTTGAACTACAGGTGAACTTGGAAAACTTGTTGCCTGTCAAGACCTGAGACTGAGTGGTTTTGATTCTCATGCAAATCACTTAAGGCCCCCAGAGGTGAATGCTAGTGATGTGACCCAGGACGGAGGAAACATCGGATCTTACTCTAAGAGTCCAGCAAATAAAAGATAAAGTCAAATATTTCAATTTTAAATGAAATATAGTAGTATTTAACTGTTCCTCATTCCACGATTAATTTAAAAATTAAAAACAACTGAAAATATTTTATCTATTTGAGTTTTTGAATATCAGTTTGCAAAACAAAATTAGAGTGGGTTTTAGAATAACTTTTAGCCAAATTCTTCATGTCTTCTGAACCTTTGAGCAAAGAGGGAAAATTTTTATTGGAATATGATCAATAATACTGTAGAAAAAATAAAGAAGTGTGGTTTTCTCTCAGTGACTGATGTCATAGCAATATTCCCAACACCACATTTTTTCCTTCCTTAATGGTTAATTGCAAATAAATTAACTGAATTTTAGGTAATAGGAATGGAAAAGTGGGATGGAATATGTCATCTCTCTATTTTTTTCTTTGTTTTCTTGATGAAAAACTTTAGTTATTCTTTTCACTTTTTGTTTATTTTGAAAATATGAATCTAGTATCTCAGAAAATTTTAAATTAAGTTTAATATTCTCCTTAAGGAATGGATAAGTCTCTCTGTCATAGCTTTTCTTTGGAAATGGCTTCTTTCAATTCTCACATTTTCCATAAAATCCCATTTTAGGCTTGGTTAATTGAGTGTGAGTAATCCTGAATTAAGAAGAGCCTAGCACAGCTTATAATGGGAAATTCTCACTGCCTCAGAATTAATTATTAAAATTATAAATTGTGTTCACTACATCACATTTAACAAAATGAATGTGAATTCTAAGGTAATATTGGACATTCTTGATAAAAAGGTAAGTGATATAACATAATATCCTGTTGGTCCCTGAGTACCTAAAGTTTTAATTTTTCCAATATAAAATAAAAATATCCTTTAGATTTCTTTTCCTAAAAATGAATAAATAGGTTTCTCTTAACCTCCTTAACAAGGCAAATATAGTGATTTGCCACAGAATAACTAACCATGAAGGACACATTCATTCATAGCAATGATAAATTAAAATACCAAAAACTTTGCTTGAGAAAAATGTAAGAATAGTTAACTAAAATATACCCAAAAAGAATCAATTCTGCAGTTTTATGCAAGAGTCATTCCCACTGCATAATTAGTAAGGATGGTCTACGTATGTCTTTAGCATATCAGAAGATGGGAGGCATCCTGAACCATGTGTGTGCTGCCAGAACATATCTTCCTGAAGAGGATTTCCCCTAAGGAGGTTTCTGGTCACTTGACTAAAAAAATTGTGTCTAGTCATGTTCAATTGCATCGTGTTAGAGCTAGAAATAAAAACCTGAGTTTTTCTAATCCCAGGTACATAGCTTTTACCATCACTTCAGAATACCTCTTAACTGAGTTAAAATTTTAATTAATATTTGATGGAATTATCATATAACTATTTCAACCAGAACCATAAGTTGTTTCTGGATTCCTGTATGGGTCATAACAAATACCTCTTCTCAAGTCAATTACAGAAAAATGTCCCATTTTAAATTAGATTTACCATCTTTTCCTCTGGGGAAGGAATAAAATTGTTTATTATTTCACAAGCATAAATCCAGACCTTCCTAAGTGCCAACTACTCAGTGTAAAGGAGAAAAATATAAAGATTATATGAGATGTTCTACATTTATCAGCATGCAGGCAGTGGTATAGAAAACAATACTCAAAATAACCTGCTAAGATTAGAACCAATGCTGCCACCTTTTGGCAAACTTGCCTCTGTACCTGATTAGTTAGCTAAAGAAGGAACAATCATGGGTACACCTTTTCACTCTAATAAACGAATTACAGTTCTGGATGATACTAACCAAACGCTTGTAAATATAACCAACCTGCCAAAGAATCAATAGCTCAAAAGGCAAAGTGCCCCTAAAATAATCTTAAATGTCCTCTTACATATGTGTTGAAAGTCATGAAGTAGGACACACTTCATTTGTTAGTATTATATCTCCTTTTTCTAGATGACTATGCAGAAGGACCCATAGCCTTGAGATTTTCCCACCCTTGCCTGGAAGATCATAATAGCTACTGCATCAATGGGATGTGTGCATTCCACCATGAGCTAGAGAAAGCCATCTGCAGGTAATTGCAAAGAACTCCCAAGTCCTGGAGACAGGAGAAGGTGAACTTATGCCTTTGTTGTTTTACACAGTACAGTGCCACTCTCTACCTTATCTAGTTAAAACGGTGTTTGATCTGAATGTGACTTGCCAGTCCTCTTTGTACTTGACTTTCCAAAAAGGTTTTTTTTAATTTTTTCTGCTTAATCCTCATTATTTAAAAAATATAGTTCCCAGGTTAGCAGCATCTGTGGAAGCTGGGGCTTTTTGGAAATGTAGAATTTCATGCTTCACCTCAGAACTACTAAATCAGAATCTGCATTTTAATGATATGCAAAGGTGAATCCTAGTTTTCACAGGATTATTTGTAGGATAAAATGAAACAGGGCAAGGCAAAAATCTTCATAAAAAGTTCACAATTTTTATGATCATTGATTTGCTTGGTCTTCTTTTTTCCACATTTTTTATGGATGCATTACAGTTGTATATGATGATGAGATTTGTTGTTACATATTCATACATGCACACAATTAAACAATATAATTTGGCAATATCACTCCCTGGTGCTCAGTTTTCTTGACAAGCATACTACACTTTGTGTCTACCATTGAGAGGAAAATATGGGGTCTTAATGAGATGATTATTGTAAAATTCAAGCTACTTCATACCTTAACACACTGATTTCACTTGGTGTTTGCCTATTTAAATTACTTCCTTTCCTCCCCACCACTCCCCGCAATTCTGTAGGCTTTAAAGTTACTTTTTTTTTCTCTTTTTTAAGGTGTTATACTGGTTATACTGGAGAAAGGTGTGAGCACTTGACCTTAACTTCATATGCTGTGGATTCTTATGAAAAATACATTGCAATTGGGATTGGTGTTGGATTATTAATAAGTGGTTTTCTTGCTATTTTTTACTGCTACATAAGAAAGAGGTATGAAAAAGACAAAATATGAAGTTACTCTGTGTGCGTTCATTTGACAAATATCTGTCGAGCCTCTATGACATACCAGGCTTTGACATGTATCCTTTTTTAATGAAAAAGAAGAAGGTGAATCTGAGCAGTTCCTCCGTAACATTTTTGATACCCTTCTCACAGGAGTGGTGAAAGTTTACCTTTAGTTGCAATAAGAGAGTTCAAATTTACAACTTCCTTTCTTCTTATATCTGTGTCTTCCTAAGTCAAAATTATAAATGAGGAGGATAGCAGGCTCAAGTGGGTAGAGACCCAGTGTGTCTTGTTTACTAGTACACATTTAGCATCTACTTTTGTGCTCAGAACAGACACTGAAAAAATATTTGTTGAATGAAAAAAAAAATCAAGAAATGAGTATTCATCCTTATTTCTGGTTTTTCACACCTTAAATCTGTGTAATTAGGGAAAAGTCAAGAAATCATGTAAGATACATTAATTTTAAAATACAATTATACTTCCCCTGATATACTTTACTGTTATCAGTTTAACATGACTAAAATTGTCCATTCAAAATTAGAAAAATTTGTTTTGCTTATGAGAGGATCCAATCAACATGTATAAGTTGCATATTTATATAAGAATCTAAGAAGAATAACGAGGAAGAGAAGGAAGGAGAGAAGAGGTGAGGGAGAAGGTGGAGGAGGAGGCAGCCGGGGAGGAGGAAAGGCTTGTTGGTGGTCATAAGCTAGCTGTTTGAGATCCAGTTCTGATGAGAGTATTGTGCATGTGACAGGTGGCAGGAGAGCTCTGAGGTGAAACCTGTGATGACATAAGGAAAGCAGAAGCAGCTAAGCAGAGATGTAGCTTGAGCTGTCTTCTCAGCTTGATTCTACAGGGAGATGGAGAATGTGAATGGCATCATAGACCTTCCCAAGGAGGAGAAAGGTCTTGGTTTCAGTTTACCACATGGGTCAATCAGGCCACAAACTATTCTTGATGGGCTAGTGGGCTAGTGAGCAGGGGTTTGTAATTTCCCAGGAATCTCTGGCAAGGTGTTCTATTGGCTATGGCAGTCCTCTGGAGAATGGTGGTGCTGTCAGCCTGTTAATGCTTACAGCCACTGAAGGATGGGTCTACCATTGAGTGAAGGGGATCTGGGCAGGGCACCAGGAGCAACTGATACACCAGTGCATTCTGTGATCTATGATGACCAACACAAACCACAGTCATAAGGAAATCAATGCTCTGTTTTAGGTGTCTAAAACTGAAATCACCTTACAACATCTGTTCTGGAGGGAGACCACTCTGAGGATTTGTGGGCGTTTTCATCATGTCATTTGGGAAACTCAGTGGGCCCCACATTGAAATCCTCAAGTGAAAGAACAAAAACGTCAAGCTGACTAGACTTGAAAAGAATGAAAGTTGGGATCACAATGAAATAAGAGGATAAGATTCAACATTGTTCTTTAGTGTTTGCCATCATTAGGAGCCATGGAAGCCAAGTGAACGAGCTACAAAGGAAGAGGTCAAGTTTGCAATCCTAACCTGGGTTTGTTTGTTGTGTGGTTATTGTTCTCACTACAAAAAAAAATTGTGTTTTGTGCTTCTGACCATGTCAGATGTAGGTTTTCCCGGGAATAATTGTCATCCTTTCTGCAAGCCGCAGCAATTCCAAGTTCAGCTTGCTACCCAGCATTTGGATAGCACAACCTAAATGTGGGCTCTTTGTTCACTCAATGGACCTCATCCCAAGCATTCTGTTTTTATAGTATCAAAGGAGTTTAATCTCAATTTTAGGGTGGTATCAGTGTTATGGCATCTTGAGCGAACCAAACATGTGTCTTAAGTGCAAGCCATTGAAAAGAAATGAATGTCCAAAGAAAACACAAATCATAGCTAGCTTATGACAATACTGTGCAACTTTTATCTGTGAAACATGGAATAAGCTAAAGACTTTCTCAGAACTAAAAGCCATCTGGATATCAAATCCAGAGTAGGCTAAGCATTTCCTTTCCATATAGATTATGAAATTCTCTGTTGGACTTATGTTCCCTCTACTTTTGTCACTTCTAGTCATTATCAGTGGTATTAACTGGTGACCATTCATTTGAATTGAAATCCAAGACTTTGGCCAATGATTAAAAGTCTACAACTGGTCCTGAAGTAGAAACTGACAAACTAGACATGAGAGTTATTTCACCAGCCAAGAGTGTGTGGAAACTTCATCATTTCTGAACAGATCTGCACATAGAAAAAAAAAAATGGAGCAATGGTAGAAATAACAATTTGGGAACCAAGGTCCTTCCTTTTTAATTATACTTCTGCTACATAATTCATACAGTCTTGTGCAGGTCCCTTAATTTCCTGGGGCTTTGGTTTCATCTTCTCCAAGACTCTTGTGGTTCTAAAGTTTAACAATGAGAGAAGAAAGAAATTTTCTGCACTATTAAGTGACAGATGGAAGTGACAGTTCTATCATCAAACCAACCTCGAAGCCCAAAAACACACCACTAGCCATTATCTTAGATGTATATTTTAAAGATCAATTTATACAATAATAATTTATTTTTAAGAAAAATATAAAATTAAATTAAAGAATTATAACATTAAACATCTTTAAGTTTCAACCTAATAGCGTGGGCTCATATTGTGACGTCGATAAACAAAACAATTTTGATCATGAGATTGATAGAGAGAAAATCAAACTTGAGTGTTTGAACAATGGCAGCCTATTAATAAGCCTTCTTTTGCATTAAATTATAGATTTTTATTCGCTCCTAACTTCCCATTTCGCTTTCCTTTGAAGAGAAGGGATTTCACTTGCTTTGGTTTTCCTTCAGAAGGAATTTAACACAGATGAATCACAGGTCAGCACTTTCTGCCTGTCTTCACACAGCGTTCAAAGGTTACATCACCCCAAGGGGTGGGGAGCCAAGGTTCCACCCATGACTCCAGCACCGCACCTAGAAAGCTGTGCTCTTCCTGAGCATTTCAAAAAGATGTAAAAATGCCAGGGAGAGTCCAGGAAGGCGTGTCTTTAAGTAATTAAGGACTGCCTCTTAATGAAAGGAAAGAGGAAGCAATGATAGTGTCTACAGAAATGGTAACCTAAATGGTTACAAATATTGGCAGTCTGTAAATACCTGCCAGTTTTAAACTTATTACATTGAAATTAGAACAACGTCACAGCAGTTAAAATTTTCAGCATTGCTAATCCAAAATGTTAATCCAAACAAATGCTAATACAGATTCCTTCTTTCACCTAAGGAAAAGTATGCATTAACAATATAAAATCTACCCAGTGAGACTGTACAGAAACTTACAATGTGGTTTATGAAGCCATCTGTTTGTGGTCTGTCCTATGAAATAATCTTGTGATCCCGTAACTCCCAGAGTTAATTTTGCAGGAAGGAATCTCTGGCATTCCCATAGAGCTGGAGCCCCACCTGGCAACATTTACATACATAAAGGACTTGTACCTTGTAAGGTGGAAAATGCATAAATACAAGATGATCTGTCAATTGTTTCATCTTGTACATTTTTTTTCTCCTGTATGCAGTAAGACCCTGAAAAGTGCCTACCCATGAACTTGCATTTGAACTCCACTTTCAGCCATCAACCATGGATCATTAAGTGGGGTGGATGACTTAGGAAAGAAATGACAGCATGCTGCTGGCATCTTTCACTAAATCAACCTGGCCAAGGGGTTCATCTGCTTCTTTCAGTCCCCCTTTTGTCTCTTCCCTATTTCTATCCTTCAATTCTTTGAGAACACTTTCTTAGCTCATCAGTATTGAGGAGTACATCATTATTTAGCATTTTGATGGGATGGGGGCAAACATTACAATCTCCTCTCTGAGCCAGTAAATCTCCAATTAAAAGAATTCAAAATTGCTTATCATTGTATCCTCTCTCCCCAAATTAGCTTTCTTGTACAATCATGTTTTAGTAAAGTTTGAAGAGGGTAAAATTATAACATAGCTCATCTTTCAAAGTGCAAATCTAATCCTTCAGTTTTCACATATCCATTTTGGTGACATCAATAAGATTTTCATTCATTATATTTAATTGAAAAAAAGTCTTAAGAAAATAATAAGACAAACATCAGCAATTTGAGCTTTTGATATTGAACATAAGAACAAGTCATATACACAGAAGACTATGAGTAAGCCATCTAACTTCGATGCATTACAAAACATAACATGCTTTCTGTGTGTGATATAAATATTGATATTCTGCAACCCACACTCATGGGAAGGGTTACCAAAATCTCTGTTGCAAAATACCACCCTTTCTGGCTTACATCATGACTGCATGACATCAGATGTGAGCATCTGCCAAGATGAACTGGAAGTGTTGAAATTTAATTTGTCATTGTCTGGCACTGCTGATCTGGGTGAGTCCACATTTCTGTCCAAACTTTGGTGCAGACCAATTCAGTAGCACATTCAGAAGCATATCTTCCAAATTCTCTATGAAATTTGTTAATAAAAATTCAGTCAATCAATGCCCAGCCCAGAGCTCAAGAGCTTGAGCAGTTAATCTGAGAATTCCAAGGCTTGAGAATTCCAAGTTCTTGAGAATGTCCATGTACAAAAACATGTCCCATCATTTTACTTCACTCCTCTGCCAAAACTGAACATGATGAATGTTCTAGATTACAGGAAACACAGCTTCCAAAAAAACAACTCATAAAGATTAGGTGAATGATTATATGATAATAAGAATTGGATTTGTTAGTCAGGCCTTATTTAAAACCTCATGTTCTTTCTTTGTCTTTTTTGGGGGAGGCGGGCAGTGGGATACTAGTACTTTCTTTGTCATTTTTATGTCTCAGTTATTGGAGCATAAATTTCCTAGATTGAATTTGGTTAAGACAAAGGACAAGCAGCTATCAAATTAGTACTTTTGATCTTTAAGAGGATAATAATTAGGTCTCACATCTTTCTGGAAAGAATGGCGTCTCTAGATTTTTTTTCAATTGCAACAAAAACACTAATTCTGTATTAAGTTAAGTTCCTTGAAAATCAAGTTGAAGAAATAGTTTGAGAGCTACCATTTATGAAAACTTGCACTGTTTGAAAGTATTTGCATTATTTTGATTAAAAACACACCTGTGGTTTCAAGAAGGCAGTTCACTTGTTTAAGATTACATAGCTTTTTTATTTTTATTTTTTTTAAGAGAGAGAGGGAGAGAGAAGAGAGAGAGAATTTTTTAATATTTATTTTTCAGTTTTCAGAGGACACAACATCTTTATTTTATTTTTATGTGGTGCTGAGGATTGAACCCAGCGCCCTGCGCATGCCAGGCGAGTGCGTTACCGCTTGAGCCACATCCCCAGCCCCAGGACACATAGCTTTTAAGTTGCAAAGCCATGTCCTGAAGGAGTTAGAGTCAATGCTGAAGTTCCTCATCTAAGCTCTAGATGATAATCTTTCCCAACATTTTATGGGAAATATTTACATTGGGTACTAAATCTTGGTGAACTTGGAGATGTAACCAAGTGATTTGTATGCAAATAAAAATAGTTCTTTTTTGTTTTATACACACACACACACACACACATATATATATATATATATATATGTATATATGGTCACCTTGTCACAGATCAATTACAAAAATTCCCTGCTGTCATCCTCAGATTACGATATGCATACCATCCTTAGGGTGGGGCCAGAACAGTGTCAAGTGCCTGGTGGCATGTGAGAACACAGACTGAAAGGAGACTGTAGACTGTAAATAAACCCTAGGTTATCCTCAGGATTAAAAGAGTGGGCAGGTTGTTGGAGAATATCCTACCCAGTCTATAGACAAGGGTTCTCTGTCACTGTGCTACCTTAAATTGGACACATCTAACAGGTTGGTGAAGGGATGTAAAGTGAGGTATCCAAGTGCAGATGGTTTTTCCATCTACATTAAAATCTTAGTAAATACCCTCTTTGCCCCACATCACCCTCAATCCTAACCTTAGCCCCATATGCACTAGCAGTAAATGATGGTAGTCTGTCTGGGTTAGGGCCAAACTTGGAAACAATATTAGGAAAAATCTGTGCTATGGATTAATGACCTAAATGTTCTAAAGCAGCTGTCTATTTAACGTTGCTGGAGCCTTCTGGATATGATATTCTTGTTTAAGTGGACAATATAGAGTCTAAAAATGACCTTTACATTCCCTTTCTGGTTGGAAGGTGTATGGTGAAAATGTGACGCCTAGAAGCCAAATCCAGTCCACACATGTATTATTTCCTTTGACTTTCATGGTGTTTGTTTCAAATCAAACCCACATTTAGAAACCAAGATACTTTACTATAAATATCTAGTTTCCTTTGAGATGCAGATCATTGGCCTTATCTTCCCACATAGCTTTTGTCCTCAACACCAACCAGTTTCAGTTGGTTAGGCTGCCAAGTTAAGTTCTCATGGGCTTTTAAATCTGCAAACTTGGCTCTTCGGATTAATTTGAAGATCTTTCCTCATCTAAATTCCTCTGAGTCTAATCAGGATGATGGCTGTAGAGGGCCCTGTTGTACTGCAAACCTCATAAGCTATAAAGGGAATCTCAGATCAAAGAGTTGCCCTGGAATGTGCTCTTGAGGAGAACCCACACTCACCTGAAAGCTGGCAGGGTGGCATCTGATGACTCAGATGCTGCCCACACCCTCAGCCACTCTCTGCTACAATTTTTGCCAGATTTGTCTCGGCACACAGCCCTGCTCAGGTAACCTCCCCATTGTGTGCCAAGCTTAACAAGGACTCCTACCCCAGCAGTGAGCAGCCTGCCCCAGGAAGGCTTGGGTGGGCAGCCTCTTGTCTCTCCTCCTCCACTATAGATGCCTAGCACCAGGGGAAGCCCATAGACGCTTTATGCTCCTGAATAGATGCCACAATTCCTTCTCTGTATTAGGGTCTCCACTGTTCTTTCTGCATGTATTATCCTCTCATCCTCTCATCTCTATCTGCTAAGATCCTACAGCATGTGTTTCAAGTGTTGTCTCTTCCTTGAAGAATTGTTAATTTACAAAAGTCATCTCTCATCCCTTTAACTCCCTTAACATCTTATTTATTTTTTTGGTACCCATCAGATGGTATGTGTATATATACCATGTATCATAATACATGGCAGAATATATATATTCTGCCATGTATTATGATTATTTATGTTCTTGGCTAAGTTCCAATGGTAATAATAATAATAAACTTCATTCATTAAGTTTATATTATAGTCTGGGCGTAGTGCTAAGAAATTTATATATAGTATCTTCCTCAATCCTCAGAGACAAATAGGAGGAAGGTTTTGTTGTGGAAAATTGTGGTTAACAAGATGAGTGTCTGGAATTTGCTAAGGGTTAACAGGTTAACGCCTTCCTTGCAAGCTGTCCAATCTTAATCATACTTCTTTACTTTTTTTCCACATTTTGTCATTTGGAGGAAGGGATAATATCGTCTCATCTCATAGAACATTTTGAGGGTAACAGTGAGTGCTCAGTGAATGTTAACTATTGATTGCAATTGTCAATTTATTTTTTTCAGATTAGGAAACTAAAATTTAGAAAGTGTAAGTAACTTCTTCACCTTTAGTTAGTGGTGGAAGCTGGATTGATTGCAAGGCTGTCCAGTTCCAAGGCTCCAGTGTCTCTGGGAGAGGCAGGGGAGCCTGGCCAAGCTGGTCTCTCTGAACCCACTTTATTCTGCACAGTTTGGCTTCCAGTCTGAAGTGGGATCTGCATTCAAATACAGCTGTATTTTGAATTTCAACTGGTTATTAGCTTTGTGATTGAGAAAAAAATTAACCCTTCTAAATCACAGTTGCCTTTATTATAAAATGAGGAGAATTCCCCCATAGGGTCATTTTAAGATTATTTTAAATCAGATAGCTAGTGTTAAATCAGATATCTAGAATATCTGGAACACAGTGCCCATTCAATAAATATTGCTGTCTATGATTATTAAACATTTGAAATTCTTATTGACACTCAATACATTTGATTTTATTTTAAGGTGTCAATATTCAAAAACTTCATCAATAATACATTAAAGACAAATAAATGAAAGGAAACCTAATAAAATGGCAACAGTCTCACATAGCTTCTATGGCTAAGGTGTACATAAATGTGACACTTTAACTTGAAAAAGACCTGCAATTAGCTTGTAGAAGTGGATATTGGCAGAGTTGTAGCTTCGGAGTTATTGTCAAATGACAGGCAGGATTATTGACATTGGATGGGAAACTTAACAGCCGTTGCAGATAGTACAGCCCATAACACAGATGTGAGCCAACATAGCTGGTATGTGCTTC